AATAAATATCCTAGATTGTATGTCTTGTCAACAGGGAAGGAAAAAGATTGCCATCAAATGGGATGGGATCATAACAGCACATGGAAGTGGAACATGACATGGAGAAGGGCTTTGTTCCAGTGGGAGGAAGAGGCTGAAAAGGAACTTGAAAAGACAATCGACAAAGTCAAAATCTCCCCAGGTTGTGCAGACAGATAGGAGTGGATCCACAACATTGATGGCCAATACTCAACGACAATAGTTTACGCAGTATTAGCAAAACAAAGGAGGGAAGAGGAGGAGGAAAAAATGTTCAAGAGAGTATGGAATCCTACTCTCCCAATGAAAGTAGCTGCATTCAACTGGAAGGTACTGCTTGACAGAATCCCAACCAAGATTAATTTGTTCAAATAGGGAATCATAAAAGATTTGGAAGAAAGAAAATGTGTTTTGTGTGAGGAAAAAGAGGAAGACTCCAACCATTTGTTCTTGAACTGCAACGTAGCTAAGTGGTTGTGGAAAGCTTGTGCAAATTGGTGGGGAAGCACAATAGTATTACAAAAAGAATGTTGGCCAACATATCAACACTTTGGGGGCGTGGACCAAAAGGCCACACAAAAGAGAAGGGTGGGACTGTATATGGAACACAATATTATGGACTGTGTTGATGGTGCGCAACAAAAAGATCTTCGACAATTCAGAGGTAAACTTGATTAAACTTTTTGAACTTATTCAATTAAGGTCTTTTGCATGGATCAAAGCCAGGAAACCCAAGTGTTATTTCAATATATCAGACTAGTTAATTAACCCTGCTTCATGCCTTAGTAAAGCGAAGTAGGAAACGTTTGAAAGAGGGTAGTAACATTGAAGGGATTGTATTTTGTACATGGAAATGGGTTTGAGTACCCCTTGTACTCAGGTTATTAATGTGAATCTCTTTGCTATTCAAAAAAAAAAAAAGTATAAGAGAATGAATGAATACAAGTGATAGCTCAAGTTGGTAATTGAATGTATTCAATGAAAGTGTCTAAAGTTGTCTTCAAAACCCTTGCCAACCATATTTATACTCTCATGGTAGGAAATATGAGTTTTCTAGCCATTGGAATTCATTAAATGCATTGCAAATCCATTAAGGAAAGAATGTTGCAGATCCAATTGATAAGCCAACTTAGCTAAACTGGCTTACAAAGCCAAAGCCAGCTTTGTTGTAGGTTCCTCACCTTTTGTTTTCTTTCTAGCTAGCTACAAAATTCTAAGCTAGCTTAGAAAAATTAGAGTTTGAAACTTTTAATATATTTAAATATATATTTTGACTGTTGAAAATGCTTCATCTAAACTGATTTCAAAGTCTAAGATGACTTAATCATTGTGCAATTCTCCCACACACACCAAAGCTGCATTTTTTGAAATTTTGAACATCTAAGCCGGCTTCAATGTCCTAAGCATCTCTAGAGCATCGAAGCTAGCTTAAATAATCTAAATTGGCTCTACCGCACATTTTCTAACATATTGCTTCTTTTTATGTTTACTCCAATTCTTCACTCAATTTCATCAATCTTTCATCCAAAAACTACACACTTAAATAAAGATTAGTACTTTAAGTGTTTTTTAATTATCAAAATTATAGATACAACATAATGTAGAGTTGCAAGGAAGAAACAATGAGAGATGATAAGAGAGGGTTTACTTTTATGAAAATGCTATAGTTACCATACTATGTAACATTATAAACTTATAACATAATTTATCATTATATAATTAATTTTTTTATTTAAAATTCTATTTATGATATTATAT